GTCTAAAAGGAGCTAACAGCTAAAGTCTAAAAGGAAAAGGAGCTAACAGCTAAAGTCTAAAAGGAGCTAACATTAGCTAAAGTCTAAAAGGAGCTAACATTAGCTAAAGTCTAAAAGGAGCTAACATTAGCTAAAGTCTAAAAGGAGCTAACATTAGCTAAAGGCTAAAAGGAGCTAACACTAGCTAAAGGCTAAAAGGAGCTAACATTAGCTAAATTCTAAAAGGAGCTAACACTAGCTAAAGGCTAAATGGTCTAAAACATAAACTAAAGTCTAAAAGGAGCTAACATTAGCTAAAGTCTAAATAGTCTAAAACATAAACTAATGGCTAAAAGGAGCTCACATTAGCTAAAATCTAAAAGGAGAAAAGCACTAGCTACAGGCTAAAAGTTTTAAGAATTGTAGCTAAAAGCTTAATGTTTCAAAAAGTCAGCTAAAAGTAACAAAAGGCCAGCTAACCGCTAAAGTAGCAAAGTGGTAGCTAAAATCAAAAGGTAAAAAATGGCTAGCTAACAGCCACATGTTAGGTTAAAGATTAAAATTAGGAAATAGCTAACTAAAGTAGCAAAAGGCTAGTTAAAAGATAAAAAAAACAAAGGCTAGCTGAATGTATAAAATGTTTTAAGAAAACTTGATGTGTTTTTATGGGGAATATATTTCTACATAAAGTTACAAAAAACAAAATCATAGCACCCATCTGACTGAACTGAACATTTTGATGAATAAATGACACAAAACTGCAACTAAACCAACACAAAGTGTACAAAACAAAATCATTTGATGTATTCTGAGTTCAAACGTTACACCTTGTTGCTTGACTCCACCTGTCAGGTCCTGAGTATGAGGAGGTGGAGGTGCACCTGCTGAGGGAGAAGACGGGCTTCGGCTTCCGCATCCTGGGGGGAGACGAGGCGGTGCAGGCTGTGAGTCCGGACGCCCGTGACAAGGCTCGTATGGGACGGGCTGGAGACCACTCGCCTCTTTAACCTCATACACACCAGCTGATCTGAWCCCACACTCTTCATCCAAACTAAACACCCACACAGGTCCTCACACCAGACCTGCTCAGAGCCTCCCATACTGAAGTGACGCCTTGCAAACTGTAACAGCATGCTGTCTGTGATCCGCCCAGAATGTTAGAAGGGTTAACCTGATCCAAAACTAGCTTAAGAGATGAGAAAAAAAGTCTCCTCTGTGTCTCCTCTTCTTCACCTCCATCTACGCTGCTAATATTGATTGTCTCTGTACAGATTGTTATTGGTGCTATAATAGAGAACACTCCCGCTGAGCGCGACGGGCGCCTTCGACCCGGAGACGAGCTGATTTCGGTGGATAAAAACGTGGTTGCTGGGAAACCGCACAAATACGTCATCGACTTGATGCACGCCGCCGCTCGCAACGGTCAAGTCAGCTTGACTGTGAGACGGAGAGTGCAAATGCCTGGTGAGGATGTGCTTTATTCCTTTGCTCTTTTTTTTGTTTTGTGTTTTTTTTTCCTACGCTCTTATCAAGGCGGGAGAACAGGCTGCACATTTCACTGGCATCAAATTACAAAACACAACTTGGACGGGAGCGATGTGCCGACAGGATCAGCGTGTACTTCTCACCCACACCTTCTCTGTGGCTGCAGATCAGCTCTTGTTTGTTTATTGTGCCGCCAGATCTGTGCTTGTWTTTGTTTTTTTGTTTTTTCAAACACGATAACAAACGCTGAAGAAATCTGTTGTGTTGCAGAACAACAGTAACTCTGATCTCGCTGTCCGTCAGGTGAGCCCTGTCCGGTAAACGGCCGCAGCCCCGGCTCGGTGTCCACGCAGCACAGCTCTCCACGGAGCGACGCCGCCTCAGCACCGGCCGCCGCCGCGCCGCCCCCGCCCACCGCCGTCCACGTTGTGGCCTCCCTGACGGAAGGGTCCGCCGTGCAAACCAGCGACGTGGTCATCAACCGCAAGGAGAACGAAGGCTTCGGCTTCGTCATCATCAGCTCCCTGAACAGGCCGGAGAACGCCGCGGTCATCAGTGAGTTTCAGAGATGAGCTTCAGGTTTTAGACCCACAGGTGGTGAGCACCTGAAGCTGTGCTTCCCAAGGTTATTTCTGCAGGTTTTCTTTTTGCACACCCCTGACTTCGACTCAGTTTAACAGATCTGTTTTTTTCTTGTATATTTTGTATTTTTCAGCACAATATCTGGGTTTTATTTTCATTTTTTATCTAATTTCAGCTGATAGTCCGGTACATTAATCAGTGTGAATGCCTACATGGCTTTCACACTACTGAGATATTTTTTTCTTACATACGTCTTTTTGGCCCCTTTTTCATTCCCCATTTTTTACGCTGTTTCAATAATTCATACATCAAAACGTTCAGCTCATTCAGGACATTCTGGCTATGACTTTTGGTATTTCTGCTATTTATGCATTTTTAGCTATTTCACTTTTTTTAGCCACTTTTTTGCCATTAAATGAATGGAGCTATTTTCAACATTCTTAAAATCATTCAAATTGTTTCTAAATCTTTACAAAACCTTACACAATTTGTTCTGGTTTTGCTCTTATGAAATTCCTTGTGACAATTTTATTTAATTTTTTTTTTGCAAATTTTAGCTTTTTTAGTATTTTAACTAAATGTCTGCCCTTTTCTGTTCTTCTTCTGTTAATTTTTACTTTTTTCTTCTTTTCTGCGATTGAGTTATTTATGCTTCTCTTGCTTTTTCTATGTTCAGCTATTTTAGCTTTTTTATGCTAATTCAGCTATATTTTTGCTCCTTTTTACTAATTTTCTGCCCTTTTTTTGCTTCTTTCATATTTCCAAGTTTAACTTTACAATAATACTTTTGCTATTAAACATTAAAATCAGTTTGAATTTCAGCAGCTTTCAGCTAAAGTTTTCAGCAACAGGCATTCACACCAGCATTTTTGCAGGAAATGCAATTCTCTAGTTATTATTATTTGTATTTTATTCTATGTTTATTTTTATTGTCACTATCTTTAATTCTGTTATTATTGCTACAGTTGATAATAGCAATATACTGTTTCTGTGGTTTATGTACACTCACCGGCCACTTTATTAGGTACACCTGTCCAACTGCTCATTAACACTTAATTTCTAATCAGCCAATCAC